GCTACCAAGGCAGGTTCAAAAGTCAACCCTCTGCATCTGATCTAAACCCGGGGTTCCTAACTCTTTCCAGCTCTCTCCTCCAAGTCTGACTTTGTCTTCCTTGAGTTGACCTTGAAAGAAAAGAAGAGCAGACAAATATCTTGATCTTAAATCGGAATTATGTTTTGAGGCTGGCATCTGCAAGGCTGTGGCAGAACAGAGCGGCTGGTTTAATGAGACAGGTGCTCCGTGCCCTCGCTCTGTCAGCTGACGCTCAAGCCACCGGAAGGCAAGCAGCTCCCAGAACGTGAGGGACAGGGCTGCAGTCTGAACTCAAGGCTTACTCTTTACTTTCTCTGAAATGGAATTTTAAAACTCCTACCACGTCTCAGTGAGGGAAGGAGCTCACTGTTGTTTTGTAGCTATCAGCTCAGTGCTAGGAGCTTAGGAAGATATGTTCCTGCCACATCTCCAGAGTAGTTTTTTAAAAACTATCTTGGAGTCAGGTGCTGATGGCTCATGCCTATAATCAAAGCTACTCCGGAGGCTGAGATCTGAGGATCATGGTTTGAAGCCAGCCTGGATAAGAAAGCCCTTGAGACTCTTATGCCCAATTACTACCAAAAAAGCTAGAAGTGGAGCTGTGGCTCAAGTGGTAGAAGGCTAGTTGTGAGCACAAAAGCTCAAGCACAAGGCTTGAGTTCAAGCACCAGGACTGGCACCAAAAAAAACAAACAAACAAAAAAACAGAAAACAAAAACGAAAAACATCCACCTTTTAAACCAGAAGATCCTGAGGACAAGATGAACAGAGAAAACCCCACTGATACCATTGTTGCTCTTTAGAACTTCAAAAAATATTAACGTAGATGTCACAGAGACTTTAAAAGAAAAGAAAGCCATTGTAAAATGGTTACATGCTGAACGATTTCAATGACAGATCTGTTTGGAAGAGGAAGACCACAGGAACAACAACAACAAAAAGTATCAGCGGATGCCAAAGTCGTTCACCCCCCAGTTGTGGCTCGAGGCCTGAGCTTTCCACTCAAGCCCCCAGAAGGAACTGGAACTCTGAAACATACCGTTGGTAACGTCCGCGGTCAGAGACACGCACCGCTCCTGCTTGTTACACTTCTGGGTCTTCTCCGTGCAGGATGTGGTGTTGTACCCAAAACAAGCCGGGCACTCTGTGTTACTGGACTGGTCTGCGGCGGCTGGGGGGAGCAGGAGTCGTTACTCAGGACGGTCGCCGTACCGAACCGGCCCTGCCCCAGAAAAGCAAAGCCGCCTAAGAGACCATGAGACCCGGGGAGCCTCAGACCCAGCCCTTTATAGGACGTAGAATAACGTAATGGCGGGTTATCTGTTAGCACCTTGCGTAATTACAGATTTAAAGCCATGTGCGTAATGAATGTATGTTTATATCTGTAACAAATGGGCGTGTGGATTCACTCTTGCCACGAGTCTAAGTACACGAGTATCACGACTGTGATGTGCATTGTTCTTTTTAGTAAACTAATTCGGATGAGTGAATTTGCTCAGCTTTAGTTCCTGAGACAGCCAACGCTGGTGGGTGAGTCCCACAGGGACAGGTGTTCTTTGGAATCGCCATCAGTTCTAGGATGTGGCGTCTGGGCAGGGGCCTGGGGTCATGAGGGGTCATGAGGGGTCATGAGGTCTGAGAGCGGCCACCAGCCCCCTGCCCTGCCACCGCACGCTGGGGCGCTGGGGAGGGCGGAGCAGCCGCGGCCAGTGTGTCTCCTCGTTCCTCGCAGGACTGCAAGGCGGCCGGGAGCAGGAGCGCTCTCCAGCACATGCTGGCTGTGGGACCTGAGCCGGCCTCCTGGGGACAGACAGCCCGGGACGGGGAGGGTCGGGGACGGGGCCCACAGGCTGCTGGGCCTGCACGGGGACGGGGGGGGGTCCCCTCAGGCTGCTGGGCCTGTGCGGGGACGGGGGGGTCCCCTCAGGCTGCTGGGCCTGTGCGGGGACAGGGGGGTCCCCTCAGGCGGCCGGGCCTGCGTGGGGACAGGGGGGTCCCCTCAGGCGGCCGGGCCTGCACAGGGACCGGGGGTGCCCCTGCAGGCGGCCGGGCCGGCACAGACCTGGAACAGCGCTGGTGCCGTTGCAGCTCCTTCCTTGGCAGCACTGGTTTGCAAAGTGGAAGAACTCTTCCCCCGACACCCGGACGGTGAAGACCACCGAGGTGTCCCCATGGCCCGTGCAGTTGCTGGGCGAGCAGGACATGTTCTGCTTGAGCATGTTGGTGTCTCCTAGACAAACACAAGCAGGGGCGAGAGGCTGCAGGCAGGGTTGCTTAGCTCAGTGAGGTATTGGAGTCGCTGAGGAAGTTTCCACGGGTGTGAAAAGCCTTCCCTGTCAGGAGTCTCCGACCTTTATCAGGAGGCTCAGAGACCCGGGTTAACTTCAGTCTAGACAAAGGCCAACAAGAGAGCCCGGGCTAGGCAGCGGAGGCAGACGCAATACCTGACCATCCAGCAAGGAGTCTACACTCCTCTAAAAGCAGTGCAAAGGACCCTGCGCCTTGTGTGGCGGAGCAGCCACACTCCGAGAGACAACGGCGCCCGTGTTCGCTCAGATGCAGGACGTCATAAACGACCCGGTCTCTGGGCGTGCGCACACAGGGAGAGCAGAGGAGATGCGCGCAGGAGAGGAGACAAAGGCCGATGCCTGTGCGTCCGATCGTACAAAATAACGTTCATCAAAATGAACTCCGGAACTAAAGACAAGAGGTCTTTTTCTTTGTTGCTGGTTGTGTTTGCTTTGCCTTTTGTCCTGTGTGTCTTTGGGAGGGTAAGGAAGCCACGGAGATGGAGGGGGAGGGGGAGCAATGGCAGCCTCGGTCCTCACTGATGCTACATTGGAAATGAACCCTACAACTCGCCGGGGGGCTGGGAGGCCTGGGAGGAGCAAGGGAACGGGACACTGTCCAAAACGAAATGTGCTCTCGGTCCAACGTACGCAACTGTAACCCCTCTGCACAGCGCCTTTAATAACAATAAACATAAACTTAACAATAAATACATGGTGAGGACTAGAACCAAAAAAGAAAACAAAGTGGAATGTGAGGTCAGCCCGGCCCCTAGAGCTGAGTTAGGATAGGATTAGACACTCGCAAATCTGGCGATTTAAACGGAGATCAATTAGATCGACGCGGCAGTGCACGCTTGTAATCAGTGCAGCTGCAGTGCACGCTTGTAATCAATCAGTGCAGCTGCAGGGACAAGAGGACAGCAAGTTCAAGACCAGCCGGGACGGCCTAATGAGATCCTAGCTCACAGGCAGGCTCAGAGAGCGGGGCGGGACCTGTGAGGGGCTTCCTTGGCAGGAGGCGGCTGTGGGCCCTGCCTCGCATCACAAAAAATAAAATAGAATAGACCTAGAGTCAGCTTCCCTCAGCATGGCACCCACAGTTCCCTGGCCAGAAGGGAAGTGCGGGCCCGGGAGGAAGGCCGCTGGGCAGCGCGGATCTAGTTTACAGAAAGCACCAGGGCCTGGGGGAGACATTAACTGACACCACAAGGAAGCGATCGGCGCGGTGCGGTGGCGGCTCACACGGTGCGGTGGCTCACACCTGTACGTGCGGCTCCGATCAGTGCGGTGCGGTGGCTCACACCTGTACGCGCAGCTCTGATCGGCGCGGTGTGGTGGCTCACACCTGTACGTGCGGCTCCGATCAGTGCGGTGCGGTGGCTCACACCTGTACGCACAGCTCCGATCAGCACGGTGCAGTGGCTCACACCTGTATGCGTGGCTCCGCGGGCGCAGAGGCCAGAGGGAGGGAGGCTTGCTGACCAGCTCAGGCAAGAGTTAGTGGGACACCATCTCAACCAATGAAAATAAACTGGGCCTGATAACCCCTGCTTTCACTATATTTGATGTCAGTATAACTTGTGGAGGAGAGGGGGAAAAAGCAGTTGTTTAAGGATACAGGTGGACCTGTTGCAACAATGAGAAGTATAAGTTGTCATGTCCAAAACGAGCTTTACAACGTCGGTGGGGG